CAATGCAGTGCCACTTAACAACCCCCTCCAATCTAGGATCTTAGTTTTTCCACCTCACCTATGACAACACTGTACTTAAGTCAATTTATTTTATTTCTGTCTCATTTTTCTCCTAAAGGCAGCATACAAAGAATAATAGTGTTCCTAGGATTGCTTTTGCCAAGGTCTAACCCACCACTCCTTAAGGAGGAGGGCTGTGCAGATGCAAGCCAACATCTAAACTTGCAGCAGAACTAATTGTTAAAGTTTTTCCTCGATTGGATCTATGGAGGCTACACATGCTGGGCTTGCATTTTGGAAACTCCGTGCATGCAAGTAAACACTTCTGCCAATAGAGATAGAGCACATCATGGAGAATACTCCTTATCTTCCTCACATTCTATGGCTGGATGCCCAGTACTAACATTTGTGCTTGGTTTAATTTTGTCTTCTCTTAACTGTTCCAGAAGTTGGGGATGGGAGAAGCAGAAAGTTTTTTGAAAGATCACTGGAGTCTCCTTACAATTGCAAAATGGGAATCGAACTTCCTTTAGATGAACAACTAAGATCCTACCTCAAGGTAGTGGAGCATAACTTTATGTTCATAGAGGCTGCATCTGCACTGCAGAAATAATCCAGTATGACACCACTTTAACTGTCATGGCTCCATGCTATGGAATCCTGGAAATTGTAGTTTTGTGAGACATTTAGCCTTCTCTGTCAGAAAGCCCTGGTGCCACAACAAACTGCAGTTCTCAGAATTCCATAGATCTGAGCCATGACAGTTAAAGTATCAAACTGGATTATTTCTGCAGTGCAGATGGAGCCAGAGTTATGCAATGAATGACCAGTGTCAACTTGTTAGTGAATTGTGACCAGCCAGAGCTACGTGGGCAAAAAGAGGGCAGGGGGCATGAACAATGTGCAAATATAGGGATGCACAGAGTCAGCATGGTAATGGTTTGAGCACTAAACTAGGAATCTGCAAGATTCAAAGGCTGAATCCTTGCTTAGCCATTGAACCCCACTGGGTGGCTTTGGACAAGTCACACTCCCTTAACCACATGACTGTCTGAATATCAGAACTGCAGCAGGAGGAACATAACACACATGAATCAATAGTGGAAAAGCAGCATAACAGGGAGGCATTGACGGATTTTGTCCATCAATGAAAAGGAGCTCTCCAGGAATGGATGGAAGACAAAGCAGTTGCAGGACACACATGCCATTGTGTGATAAGATGGTGCCCCAAATGCTACAATCCTGCTGTAATTCCACTTTCGCAGCCTTTTGTGATGAAGTCCTAAGCTGCAAGTCACAATTGCTCAGCCTCAGAGGAAGGCAATGGCGAAACCCCTCTGAAGAAATCTTGCTGAAAAAAACCCATCATCATAAGTTGGAAATGACTTGAAGGTACGCAGTAACAACAACGCTTTGCTAATTTCATTCTTGAAGGAAACAGTAGCTGAATTTCTTCTGCTGCAAGAAGGTCTGCCCAGTTTTTGAAGATTTTTTTTTCCATTTTGAGACTAAATCAGCACAAAATTCACATTTCCTTCCCTTTGAAAATATTGTTCACATGCGGATTTTGTGCAGAATAAGGACTGAATGGCTAAAATATTTGTCTGTCCTCCTCTGTTCTCCTCATCAGGCTTTCCTAAGATTCAAGAAACAAGCATTTTGACCATTAAAATATATTTTCTTTTGGAAAAATTCTTTCTACCTCTAATGCACTGCAGATCTGCTTGGGCACTATGCACTGTTCATCATTCATTTCCTGGCTGGTAGCTTCGGCAACCTTGGACTGAATGTTCCCCATTGGATAAAAATGTCCAGCTGCTTCCACCAGGACATTTATGCATGTGTAATCACCCACAGGATTCCAGCCAATTCTTTAAGGATCTAGGTTTGTGGAATTACAGATGCTGCAATTTGCTTAGCCATTTGATTCAGGCTTAAACCTGTCTGAATCTAGTCCCCCATCATCTGGAAGCAATGACCTCTGAACAGTGTGGAAGCAGGCTAGGGCAATGGTGAATGAAAAACAACATTCATTGACAAGAATGATGTTGGCTTGACTACACCAGTTGCTATACCTTTTCCCAGGACTGTGAAATTATAGTGAATTTCAGACAATGCTTATTTCTCCTCCAAAGATGTAGCTTGAATCCATTGCTCCATCTTCTAGGACGTTATCACACGTGGCCCAGAAACTGAAAATAAAGTGGAA